ACTTCATTCAGAAAAAAAATGTAGTTTTGTAGTGATACTGCTCTCGCTCAACCCACCTCTGGAAAACAAACACAAACAAACAAACAAGAAACTGTCAGAACTAAATGAGTTTGGATTTTCAGACTAATCGATTTAGTCGACAAGGCCAAAGCTTTGAAAAAACAAAACAAAAAAAAAAACACAGAATACAGATTCTGATTGGTCTGGTCAGATAACCACTGATGCCTATTGAGCTGCATTAGAGATGTGATCGTTCCTCAGGGAGAAGGAGGAGGACAAGGAGATGGCCGAGTTCCTCCGGCTGAAGCTCCGGCCCCTGGAGCAGAAACTCAAGGCCCCGGCGAGTGAGTCAGAGCTTCAAAACTCGCCATCAGAGATGGAAACTATGTGCTATACATATGTTATGTGCTTCTGTCCTTTAATTTTATTGCAGATCCTCAAAAGCCCAAGCGACAGACCCCAGAGCCGCCTCCCAACAAACCCTTCATCGCCAGGTCAGGGGCGGCCATCATCAAGGACTGCTGCGGAGTCGCCCAGTGCGCCGTAATGTAACCGACCTCCTCATCGACGGTCGCTTCTCTCATGCCACACGACCCAGTCACTTCCTGTTTCTCGGAGAACCACAGACAGCGGCACTCGCCCTTGAGCCCCTTCAGGAATCAGACCCACTTCCCAGCTGCAGGCGCCGGGGAACTGATCCCTGATCAGGGTTCAAGGTGGGGTGTTTCACAGTGGGAGCGCGTCTACCAGGACTGTACATGAACTAAGCAGGGCTGTAAATAGAGTCTGATGGTTGTATGGTTGATGTATTTATGCAGAGGCAGGTCAGGTCCTTCCTGTATGTCGCATTCCTTTTAAGGCGAGGATGCGTCCGACTGGACGAATAAGGCCCAAAAGCACAATACCCATTGCATCAGTAATTAGCCGGGTTCTCTGACATGAACATAAAGCCTCTCACTGTCATTTAGGAAAACACTTCTCATTCATAAAGCTGCTATTATTTATCCCAGTTTGTGAGTCCAAGTTGTTTGATCCATTAATTGGTTCATCTTTTAAAGGTGGGGCTGCAGTGGATACTTTTGGACATCCAAGTGTTGGGTAAAAATGGATGGAAATAATTAGTCTCATGCTGATTTAAAACACGTTCACCACCGCAAATGCTGCTGCAAACGGTGGATCCAATCAGACTTGATTTCAGTCATTTTGATGAACTTCCAAAGGCACAAGGGCAAAGGTTCTCCAGGCACGCCGAGATCAGGCAGTCGTAAACATTCGTTTGGATTTTGTTACCTAGAGATTATTAGTCATTTCTCTCGTCTTGATGTTGGAAATCTTATTTTCTAACAACACATGTTTTCCTCTCTGATTTTCATGAGACAGTGGAGCCTGTTTTCTATTGACATCTTTCAAACCTCCTTGCCATAGTGTTGCGTTTATCGTGCACGCTTTAGTCCTTTCCCTGGTTTATCAGGTCTGCATCTACAGACCTGCTGCAGGTTCTAAAAATAGTAGAGTGCCCCAGACCACCAGGGTTCACTGTATGGTGCTAGGTTTAGGTCAGATATAGCAGCACGCACCTTTAAAAAGTTTTTATCTTTTCTCAATAGTCTTGGCCATCCTGGGTGCCATTGGAGAGTTTTTGGTTGTGCAGGTTTTCTTGTTTTCTCCTTTTGTGGATAACGGCTCTCAACCGGGTCCCAAAGTCTTAGAAATGGCTCCATAATCCTTACCAGACAGATGTCTGCTTGACTGTTAGGATAAAAAAAAAAATCCTAACAATCTGGCATAGATCAGGTAACGCACACCTTTGATTTCTGATAAACCTGTTTGGTGTCTGGTCAAAGAGGAGAATCCACTGAAATGACAACCAGGCTGATGAGGCTCTCTGGGGTTTTACTTTAAAACAGAGAGGAAAAAACAAAACAAAAAAAACAACAGGTGGAGATTTCTGGCTGACATGAAGTCTGATGTCACTTTTGTTCTTTGACGTTACTCCAAATCATAGTTCAACGCTTGTAATCATTGGTCATGCTTCGTCGCTCTGCAGGGTCGTCTAGACGCCATCAACAACCTGGACATAACAGACAGTACTACCTGACTTGTGGTGATCATGAACCGTCAAAACAAATTGCATCCTTCAAATTTAATCTTGCATTTCTATGACAAAACACCAGGAAAGGGATGAAGCCCTTTTAAATGCCTCTAATAAACTGTGTGTGCTTGAGTGTATTTAGGATTTTAGTGACTCGCGTCAAGAAAACTGTTGATCTCTTATCACTTCTTTCTTCTGATAACTTGGCGTCCTGTAAGTGTAGTGACTTTATAAAAGTTCTTCTGTTAAACAAAAAAAAAAAGAGAAAGAAATCAAACAAATATGTAGAAAATGAGCTGAAAACACTTGTAAATATGTTTCAATAAAGAGCATCTTTCAAGAACAAACCGTGTCATGTTTGCCCTCTGCAACTACAGGAACCTACAATGAAAATGCTATTAAAATGTCAACTTATTTCACTCGACTCAAATTCATAATCAAGCATATTCTGTGGTTAACTTGGATGATTCCGCCTAATAAGACGCCAAAAATGTAGGCGCTTAGAAGTGGCATGTATAAAATTAACTTATAAACAGCTTAGGACCGAAATGTTATGGCATCCCAAAGGTAAGAATTGGCGATACTAATTACCAGCAACAATTGACATCACTTAGTCATACTAAGGTTTAATTACCTTGCAAGTGAACTTTATCCAATATTGTCTAAAGTGAACATTGGGTGTTTTTTTTTAAGCCATAAATCATCAACATAAACTCAAACAATACATCCATCTGCATGACTTTGCAAGTTTAGTCGGTCACTAAACTTCTGGCATCAACTTAATATTCTCATTTATTAAGCTGCACCTGGAACACATGTTCACACACACACACACAACAGATGCTTGTGAATTTTATTAACTGATTCTTTTTGGTCACTTCAACATCATTTGACTGTTGCAACAGTGTTGGTGTGGCAAGGCAGTAAAAACTGTGACTGAAGGGACAGACGACTGCAGACGCAATGAATCACTGAGGTAAACAAAACACTCATGGCAACAGAAAGCTTTAAGGAAACAGTCGAATAAATAAAGTTCCTTAAAATCTTTTGCAGAATAATTGTGAGGGAATTCAACACATGAAGAACTCATTTAGATCCCTTCTCAAACATGTATTTCAGCAACTAAAACTATGCAGAAGTGCATATTCCAACAGGTACAGCAGGTTCTCGGTGATCCAACTGAATCGAGGACTCATTAAAACGGAGTTAGTCGTCACTGTAGTTCAAACTAAAGAAAATAATTATTTGTGGACGTTCACTGATCTGTTCAAATCTGCTTTTGGTCATTAATTTCAAACAATTACTTTGAACTGATGATTCCTTCAGCTGGTCACTGAAACAGTGCAAAAAGAAAGGAGGAACAAGAGTCACTTTTAAAAACTCTGATTTGTGCAAGATAGAGCTTATTAACACCGAGTAGAAAAAAAAAAAAAAACAACAACCCAAAAAAACCTTAAGACTAAACCCAGTGTCTAGAGAAACAAACTTCTTACATGGGCTTTGACCCAATCCCTAAAGGTTTACAGCAAGCAGCAGCTTCGACTTCAGTTACATCCAGTTTGTGCCAAACTTCTCTCTCACACACACACACACACACACACACACACACACACACACACACACACACACACACACACACACACACACACACACACACACACACACACACACACACACACACACACACACACACACACACACACGACATCTGGAGATATTTCGGCAGCCGATGGGCGATACGGAAAAAGGAAAGAAAGAAATCAGAGACCACCGCGCACCTACAAGTTAAAAACTGCTCTGCCTGAGAGGGAGGAACGATGGCAGCCGCGTTTCACCGCCGTGGCGAATACAAGCCATTGTAAAAGCCCGGCAGACCCCGGAGAGCGGCGGAGGGCCCCCTCTGTGAGCGCAGGAGGCCTCTTGGGGCCCCCCACACTCCGAAATCCATCTGCTCCTTCTCCCCTCAAGTTTCCTTTAAAACATAGTCACTGTGCCGCTAAAAATCAAAAACTCAGGCCGTCCTCCAAATACGCCACCTCTGATTCGGGCCCACTAGTGGCAAAGGTTAACTCATCAAACCTTCACGAGGCAGCAGCTGGGCGAGACCGCGGTAGAAAAACCAAGACCGACCTGAAACTAAACGTCTTCTCCTCGTCTGACCCCGTGGTTACACCTTGCATAAACCCAATTATGCACACCTTGCACATTTCACTCCATCGTCTCCAGTGTACACCCTCTCCCCCCCACACACACCCACACACAGAAACGCAGCTTAAGACAAACATTCAGAGCTGCTGGCTGCAGATTACCGGTTTTGTCGTTTAGGATCCACCATCACATTTAGGCCCAAGCTCCTTCATAGATGAACACAGACTCCGCAAACATTTAGAAGGAACTAAAAAACACACTGCAGAGACATTGCAGGGGAGCGTACAGAGGCCAACTACTTTAAAAATCAGAAATTATTGGTCGGGCAGCGACTCTTCAGCTGGATTGCTCATCATAACCAACCAAAGACTAAATCGCCAAAAGGCTGAAACTAGGGTTTTAAAAAGAAAGTTTCTGTTTTTGGCAGGGAGCAAAGAAGGGACCTTGAATGTTTCACTGAGAAATCCTAATGCAGTTTCATAAACTGAAAAACATACAGTGAAAACTAACTCAGTTTTTATAACTCCGAGTTCCTCAACATGTCGACGATGGCGCTCTCTGAGAATCACCTGTTCCTGGGATGAAAACTCGGATACAGAACATCAGTTTGCAAATCAAAGAATTGCAGAAAATCTGCAAAAAACAAGATCAGCGAGGCGAACTTTAATGAAACGTTGTGACGAAAGCTTGCCGAGGAGGAAGTGGAAACGCAACAGCCTGTCGCCATGTCGAAGGGACGGACCCGTTTGGAGCTGGTCAACTCTTCCATCGAGAGTTGCACTGAGGAGTGAGTGAGTGTCGAAGTGGATCAGAGGCCTGATGTGAAGGAGAAGTTGGCAGCCAGTTTAAATCTGCTACGGGAAGCTCTCCTGCCAGGACTGTCCATGGACAAAATGTTCTTCCCTTCAGGGAGCGACGGTGCAGCGACTGAACCTCCGTGCTGCTCCGCCGGATCAGATGGACCATCTGCTGCTGTCGCCGCTACAGATTCCAGCTCTGAGAGTCAGAAGAAAACAAAAAAACAAATGGAAAGCGTGCAGCGTTTGTGTCTTGAAGGACAACAAACGGGTTTAAATTACTGAGCAATATCCAACCTGTTGGCGGCTGCGGAGGTGGCGTTCTCTCGAAATCAATCAGGTCTATTTGCTGCAGGAGAACCGGGTCAGGATGGAGCTGAGGTGACGGCAGGCAGGATGGCACAGGACCACACAACAGGTCAACGGGCGAGGCTAGACGGAGCAACTCTGGATCGGCATCGCATCCTGGAAACCGGAAAAAAATCCCAAACAAACAAAAAAAAAGATTCAAGAGTTGAAGTTTAAGTTAAACATTTCAAGACGGACACAAAAATAAAAATAGCTTCACAGTAGACCGATTTGTCCAAGCTATATTCACATTTTTCTCAATGAATATAGATCTTGATGCGAGATTCACAGTCAATCAATCCACATAAATCAAGTTCAGTAAGGTGACATCTGGAGTCGAGATTCACCCTCTGAACAGAACGATGGCACAGAAAGCCAAAAAATCAGCTGGAATCCAGTAGGAGTAGGAAAACATTTTTGCAGCTATTGATGGAAATAAAAAGGTTTGTCATCACTAAAGTTTTGCAAAAACTTTTAAAAGTCTTATGGCTTACAAACAAACTAAATGTAATGCTTACAATTGCATTTCTAAACTTCTGCATATTCAAGTCAACACGAAGTGGAAGGAACGTCATTTCACCATAAAAATATGATTCGTAACAATGTTTCAAAGAACTTCGGAAGTTTACATGCGACCAGTATTGCATGTGAACATATATGTGACTTGGGTTACCTGGACTCTGTGTTCCTGATGTTGTGCTGCTGGTGGGGCTGTCCCTGGGACTCTCCATGCTTTCTCCCAGCTGTGGGCTGCTGGGCACGGAGGAGCTTGGCTTTGCTACAGCAAACAAATACTCCACATTTAAAGTTTCTGGATCATCTTTCCATCCATCTGAAAATCTTTTTTTCAGCCTGACAAAGATCTAAATACACTCCGTACTCCTGTCAGGTCACCTTACCCTTCATATCGTTCTTTAAAACGATAATCCTCTTATGACCGTGTCCTTTGATCCAGACCACCTGCAAACGCAAGACGGAGTGTTTAATCATCAAAACGAAGAGATTTGAAAAGATTTTGTAGATCTTTTAGGGATTAAATTACAATATTTTTTTAAAAATTGAGAAAAAAAAAAAATCCAGGATGACCTGTGGAATAGCGCTGAGCAGGTCTTCAGCGCTCATGTATCCATAAAAGCGAGGTTCTAGGCTGCAGCCTGTAAACTTGCTGTAGGCCCCGGGGAACTCCGTCAGGAAGATCTGGTTGTAGTGGTAGGTGTGGAGCAGCGCCCGAACGTTACGAGCAAACTGGTAGAGTCTGGTAAGCCTCACCCACTCAACCTCATGGCCGCCGCCGGCGCTTCCGGCGCTGCAATCTTCCTCATCTCCGCCACCTTCTTCAAAGTACAGCTAAGCAAGAAGGAGGAGTTCAGCCGTTAGCTGCCATTTAACCAATCAGAAAAATCGATCACGGTTCTTCAGAGAGAAACCTCATCCCGACCTCTACGAGGTACGGCAGGCTCTTCAGCAGCTCGCTCAGAGACAGAAAGCCGTATTCACAGGGATTGAGCTGGGCCCCGTGAACACTCAGGTAAAGGTGACTCAGCTCCTCCACCTTCAGTCCTTTCGTCACATGATCGTTTTCCTGGGACATGAGCAGGGCCAGCAGCTGAGTGGTCAGCAGCCGCAGAGACTTCCTGTTGATCAGCGTCACTTCCCGACCGTCGGTTCCGTCCACCACCTGAACAAGAGGCACAGAAAGCCATCAGCGCCTCGACGGTAAAAAGGGGGGATATTGGAGTTACATCGACTCTCCAACAAAACTAAAATAACCAACAGATATTATCTCGACTTCTGAAACTTATAGCCAGGATGATATTTTGCAAAAGTAATAAATTGGTATATTTTAGCAGTAGGTACAAGTTTCCACCTTGTTCAGGGGCTTCAGGGGAAACTGATGTAGCCAAACAGGGCCGCAAAACCAAAGTGGAAGAAAGAAAAAAAAAGCATTTTGTTGGAAAAGGGAAAAAATATACCAAAATATTTTTATTTTTGTAGTTTTTATTTAAAAGTGGTACAGCTTATTTGTTCTCTAGTGAGCTTCTGAGGTATTATTAGGAGTTGCTTTACTTTCTACTGGTCTGAGAATCTCATTACTTTACTATAAACTTAACTCAA